GGCTGGACACAGCGGGGCGGCGCGGCGCGGCACGGAGCCCCCTATTACTGGCGCCCGCCGGACCAGTTTCCTCCCAGAGACTCCCTGCCTGCGCCTCGCCGGAGCTCGGACCCCACGGATAGCGGGCCACGAAGGGAGTCTAGCTGCAAACTTTTAGAGATCCCCAGAAGCATCCGTTCGGGCCCAGGACTTTGCAAGCACGCCCTGCCACGGGCAGGAGGGAGAAAACTGCAAACAGAGTGGGCACCCTGGTGCCCTGGCACTTTGGGCTTCCTCCGTCCGGACTACCCTGCTTCGCCTGGGGTGGAGGATTCCAGGACTAAGAGCCTCTGCCTGGAGTCAACTAGAATCATAATCATAATCCAAAAGAGCCCCGTGGCACTCCGAAACTCTGGATTTTAGCTCTTACTCACAGAGGGCATCTGCTCCGGGGAAGCCCAAGAGCAGAGTGATTCCCAGAAGCCCCTACATGCTCCCCGAGCTCCCCCCCACACACACACACCCTCCCCCCATACTTTCACATTCATTTTTCGGGTGAACTACTATGCTTCTTCCTTTCGTAATCATCGCCCCCTTTCCTTACTTTCAGGAATAGGATTTTCTTTTTATAATTGAAGGGAGGACTATTTTGCTTGTAGCAGAGGCAGGCTTCATTTACAAGTATTTCAGTCTCTTCCTCTCAGGTAAAAACTCAGGGCACTGTAGTTTTGAGGTGACTCTTATGACCCAGACAACCACAGGGACTTGAGGGTGGTTGCTGGAAGGGGAACTCCCAGGAGAGTGTCCCAGAAATGGCAGGAGTGTCTGCATCTGCAGGAACACAGGGCTCCCTCAGCACTCATGAGGTGTCAGAGGGAGGTGGGAGGTCAGAAAGGTGGGAGGATATGCTTGGTATGGCGTCAGGTGCTGCAGAGACCCCATTTTTGCACTAAGCCCCTCACCACTAAGCCCCTCACCAGATGTGTCACACTCTGACTGTGTGGCCTCCCACTTTAGAGATTCAGAGATAAGAACAGGAATTTCTGTCCAGGGAGACCATGGCCAGATGAGTGAGAAGAGCCCTTTTGGGTACTGTCTACTGGGGATACTGGCCTGCCCCTGTGGATAGCAGCCCCTTCTCTAGCTTTGTGCACTGGCCGCTTTATCATCACCTAAGGGGCTCCCCCAGCAACTGCTGCTGGCCCTGGCTCCCTCCCTCTGACACCTGCCAGCAAGTTACTTCCCCAGCCTGGACATCATTTCCCTCAATCCTTTTCCAGGACGCCCCTCCACTCCTGTACCAGGCCTGCCCCCATCCAGCCTGTCAGGCTCTGCCATCTCCACGATGTTTACCAGAATCCTGTCTATGGAGGGACAGTGATGGGGAAAGAAAACAAGCCATTCCATAGGTCAGGCCTCTCCTCCAGCCATTTCTAGGTACATCGCTGATGTGTGAAGGCCCAGGTCAGAGAGAAAGGTTTGACGGAAGTACCTGTGTTTTTCAGGGAAAGACAGCAGGTCTCACCGTAGACTGGTGGTCCCCCAAACTAAGTACTGACTACACACGAAGGACCACAAGTTCTTGCCTTTCTTGGACTAAGAGCTCATGGGCCCTGTTTTTCTCCATCAAACCCAACAAGGCCTCAAGGCTTGCTGGGCCCCTCCATTTCCATAGAAGGCCCGGTTCCCTAGAGGTACCCCCTATAGGGAGGTCTGGTTGCCTTAGAGAATCTGGGGTGGGAGGGGCGGGAGGTGTCTTCCTGTTTCCCAGTCTCCTTTCTTCACCCCGTCCACACATGCTGTCAAAGTGGCTCCTTTACCCGACCCAACCCACTTGTCTCCTTACCCAGGATCTTACAGGAGTCCCCTGCTGCTTACAAAGTCAAAAGCTGACTCCTCAGGCTGAAGTCCCTTGAGGCCTTCAGGGGAACTGGCACCAACTTGCTGATTTAAATCCTCCCCTCCCCTACTCCTGGCCCAGCCCCAGGGAGAGAGGTCTCCTTACCCTTCTCAGAACAGGCCTTGTTCATTCCCATCTACATTCCGCTCTGAGGTTCCAAGATTCCATGAGTCACACTGCTCCTCAAAGCTGGAATCCTTCCCTACCTGGTCTTAACCAGTCCAAATTCAGTATTTCCACTGAGGCCCTGCTCAGGGTGCCTCCCAGAAGCCTTCCACCCTGCGTGACCCTCGAATCTTGTGGAATAGCATCAGTTCTGAGTCTCTGCAGTGGTATGTAAACCCCCCTTAAGCTGCTCTGCAGGGGTTTTAGGTGTCCATGCCCTCTGTCAGCAAAGCTGCCAGACTCTGGGCTGCCCAGACCAGGATGTGGCCCTGATGGGCATGGGGCTGGCCCTCTGGACCACTGAGCTCTGGTGAGGACCTGCTGCTGGGCCTTGAGCCAGTTGGTCTCATCCATGGTCCTCATTCAGCACACACTCACCATCCACTGCGTGGCTGGCACCCTCCAGCCACTAGGGACCCAGGGAAGAGTTGTTGTGACCACAGACCTCACAGGTCTAACCTTCTGGTGGGAAAAGTCAGTGTAACATTGTCATTTATAATAAATATCTATTTGGCACAAGGCTCCTAAAACCCTTGAGATTTCCTAAAGTGGTAAGAACAAGCCCTTTTCAAGGATGAGTGAGATTATGTAAATGGAATGAGGTGACATTGGGACAGCATCGAAGGGTGGGGGGGACTGGTTGCCAGGGGAACCAAGCATGTGATTGGAACATTCAGTCCCCCACCTCACCCTCTGTGGGAAGGAGCTGAGTTTGAATCAGTGACCAGTGACCAGTGAGTTCATCGATCATGGCTGATAAGGAGCCCTCCAGAAGCCGCAGGGCTCAGAGAGCAGAGGGTCTGTGAGCACTTGGAGACGCAGGAGAGGGGCTCATGGGGAGAGCAGCCCCCCGCCCCTCCACCCTGTGCTTTGCACCTCTTCTGTCAGGCTGCCCCAGAGTTATATAATAAACTGGAAACCTTAGCAAGTACAATGTTTTCGGAGCCACTCTAGAAAATTAATGGAACCTAAGGAGGGGGCCACTGGAAACAGCAGCCAGCTCAGAAGCACGGGGTAGGGGGGTTGTGAAGTGGGGGTGACAACTGAGACTTGACAAGCAACTGAAGTAGAGGGAAGTCTTGACATGTGGGATCTGATGCTTCTTGACAGTATGTCAGAATTGAGCTGAATTGTGGGATGCCATACTGGTGCCAGAGGATTGAGGTGGTGTGGGGGAAAAAATCCCACACTTTGGAATCACCACCCCATAACAGAAACAGCAGCTAAATAGGACATGCTGGAATACCACTAAGGCCCAGCTCTCCAGCGGTGAAATACAAAGCCAGTGTAAACCATGTTAACTTTTGAGTTGCCATTTCAGTGTTGGCCATACCAAGCAGGGACTGGGAGAGCAAGGTCCCAGCCTTGCAGGAGAGGCCAGCTCTGCAGACAGATGTGGGCGACACAGCCCCTGTGACTTAGAGTGAGGTGACAAGCCCTTACCTACAGGTAGAGTCTAAACAGTGCATCCAAGAGACTCAGGTTGTTACTTTCTCATTGAAAAATGTAGGAAATTGGAGGAGACTGTCATGAAGACGGCTCTCCATGTCCACATTCTGAGTCAGCACCTCTCATACTGTGATGTTTACTTCATAAGTACTTAACGGAATATGAAGATCCAGAGCCCACAACATTTAAGTGTGACAGCCTTTGTTTTTTACTTTTGTTATTATACCTAGTTTTCTTTTTTTAAAGGCATGAGATTTTGGAATCTGTAATATATCAGGTCTCAACATTCTCTTAAAAATTATCCAAGAGTAGAGCTAAAACATTTAGGTTAGATTCATTGGTTAATGATTCTAATGAGTCATACTAGATTCTATGAATCTAATACTCCAGATTCATAATAATATGCATAGTTCCAGAAATACTAAATTTTAGAGACTTAAGTAAACATTTCGGTTCTGGGAGGCTTATCTGAGCATGTCTGTTCTCCTTTCCTCTAATCAAATTTCTTCTAAAAGACAAATTATATATATATATATGTATATATATATGTATATATATGTATACACACAAACACACTATATATATACACATGTATATGTATATATACATGTGTATATATATATACACACACACACACATATATCATATATATGAATAAGTACATAGTCATGTTGGGAAATTGGAGGATTTATTTTCAGAAGATGAAAGATTCTTCTGAAGATATTGAGGGTTATCTGAGGACTACAAAGCAGATCAAAGTGTACTTGGTGGGGAATTCTAATAAATATAAAGAAACTGTTACATAGTTAAACAGGCAAGGATGCTTTAAAAGGAGGAGGAGGAGGGAATTTTCCAACCAGATTCCCTAAGGAAGTCCGAAGTCTGAGAGAGCAGTCTAAGGCCTTGGAGTTATTCTTGGCTTTTGGGCAGACGTGGAGGTGAAGTTGCTACAGCCTAGAACCCCACCCCAGGTCCCACACTGGTGATTTTCACTTCAACTTTCATCAGTGACTGAACATTAGGGTCCCCTGGTGAGCTTCAAAAGCTGTATTAATTATACCTGTGTGATTCCAAAATACAGTTGCGAGTAACCGGATTTTCAAAGGAAAAAAGTAGCATGAAAACAGAATGCAAACTCCTCAGAGGCAAGTTTTCCCTCTTGGAGAAAACAGAGCTACAGAGAACACACAAAGTAAAATTTAAAACCAATATATTCCCCTTAGAAAGATCCAGAAGATAGCCCATCCACAAAAATGTGAAAAAGATGAAAAATGCTAAAGAATTCTTGGGAGCAAGACACTGTAGGCAGCAGGGCTTTAAAATGCACGCAGCGCAATGCAGTGTTGAAAGCACTTGACTCGGGCCTCCCTGGTGGTCCAAGGGTTAAAGCACTGCACTGTGAAGCTTCTATGCGAGTTCTATTCTTGGGCAGGGAGCTGACCCACATGGCGTGGCAGACCTCTCCTGACATGCCCTTTGCTCCCCTCAGCGGTGTACTCGTCAGTCGGCCTGTTCTGCTCCCCACTCTGTCTCTGGTGAATCCTCTCACCTCCCCTGCTCCTCTGGCCTATACCCCAGTTCTTCATGCACAAATAAATAAATCTTTAAAAAAAAAAAAAAGCACTTGATGCAATTCAGCCTCCCATTCCAAAAGGTAAAGACAGCGATTTTTGATTATGTGGAATTTATCATAATTTTACAAAACAAAAGGGGAAAATTTGCAATCTGGCTGATCAAAAGTAGGCATTCTTTCAGAGTGCAACATACAATGATGGAGCAATGAAGACAGGAGGCAAGAGACTAGAGAGATGGAGGCTGATCCAGAAAGTTCCCTGTTCATGTGCTTGTGCTAAGGGCAGACAAGGTTAACTGGATCAACACTTCAAGGGAACTTTAGAGATGTTGGATAAACGTCTAAGCAGCAGAGCGCTACTGAGAGCTCAGCCCCGGCCCCTCTATCTGGTTTCTCGCTGGGTGCCATGGTTGTTGGTGGGACCCCCAATTCCTGCACTGCCATCTGAGCTGCTGCAGACAGGATTCGGCCTCTGCTCCTTCACTGCAGCCACATGTGCTTGGGGCCCCGGGGAGCATGGCACTGGGAGGAAACTTACTATGTACTCAGAGCATATTTGCCTTCGTGAAGCACTGAAAAAAAAATCAGTCCCATCCTGCAGCAAGCAGATTTAGAACTCAGGTTTCTGTATCAGAGTGGCATACAAATATCCTGGCAATTAAATGCACTTGCAGACCACGCCTCTTCCCTTCCCTCTACTTGTTTAGTGAAAATTACCTAATTATCCGTGGAAATGTATTTACAGAGGGAACATAAAATGCCTGTGTGTGTGTGTGCACATGTACTATTTTCTACAATTAGGAAAATAAAACTAGACTGAGACTCAGGCACGTCGAGTTCATGGCTTTGCATTCTGGTACAAAGCAAAAGAGCTGTGAACATGAAATTTAGCGAACTCTGTGGAATACGACTGTCTGCCCTCAGAAGCCCCTGTCAAGTGGGGAGATAAATACGTATGGTGATAGTGTGTCCGCTTTGCTAAGCCACATTGAGATGCCAGGCCTGAAGTTTTCCCTTCTGTCTCCACTGCTGCCATGCTCCATGGCAAGGTCCCGTCTCTGTTTTGAAAAACCTTGAATATGAAAGAATGTCTCCCAAGACAGTTCTGAGCAGGCTTGGCATCACAGCTGAATGTGGGCAAAAGCTGCTGGAAAGTACCTGGATGGCAGCTTTGCCCACACATCAAGGTGAAGAGCAAAATGCCAAGACAGCACCCTGCAGACGCTGAGTCTGCTTTGTCTGAGACTCAGGAACGGTCCTAAGAGCTGTGGAAGGCATAGCGGTGTCCCGGCGAAACACTGGTCTCTTCAAGCCCTCTGGGTCAGGTGCTCCCACGCTGGTCCTCACCAGGCAACCCCACCAGCCCGCCAAGTGTGGGCTGGGCTTGCTCATCTGTGGTGTCTTCATTTCTACTACACCTCCTCAGGCCTTCTGCATTGATTCTAGGAAGGATGTTTTGGAAGTCAAACAAAACCCTGAAAATACAGTCTTCCTCCTAGCATGCTTCATATTTTGGCTCTTCTCCCAGATGACTTAGCGGTGTTATGAATGTGGAAACGCCGAAGAAAATCACCAACATCAACATTTCTAGATTCCACCTCTTTCTACTTGTAAATGCCTAAGTCTCCAGTGCAATTCCACTGCAGTGATAACATTCTTTCCAAGTTTCTATCAAAGTAAAGTTGACACTATCTGAGGGAGACTTTTGAGAAACGCATTCAACACTAAGTGATCCTTGAACTGGGTTTGGAAGGAGATGGGGATTTACCAGAGGGAAATTGGGACACAGCAGAGAAGGATGCAAAAAAGGAACAAAATAATCAAGTATACTGGGGGCAGCCTCAGTGAAATGTAGGGCATGAGACAAGGAAGGGCAGGCGGAGTGAGTTAGGGCAAAGAGAACCTCCTTTGAGTTACATCAGACTGCCTCTTGTCTGTGGTCAGGAGTTGTAGGATTCTACCAGTCTCCATGACCCTTAAACTACCCAAACATAATTTCGTACTCATTCTCCAACTGGATTTGGATATGAAAGCTCTCTGCATCCACTGTAGAAAGTCCATATGTGATAAATACCTGCCTTATTATAGATAGTTAAACTAGAGAGAAATGGTTTCTATAGGAGAGGCAACTTTGAATGAAAGTAACAGACACTTATCCCTCTGTATATAACTCAGCTACCCGTGTGGGAAAACTCAACACTGGTTGTTTTTCTTTGGACTGCTTCCATTGTTTTCTGGCTTAATTGAAACTTCCAGATTTTTTTGAAAATAAAGCTTGGGTCATATTTCAAGCAGGTCCCACTGGTGTTATTAGTATAAGGATCATAGGTAC